AAGAAAGAAAGAAAGAAAGAAAGAAAGAAAGAAAGAAAGAAAGAAAGAAAGAAAGAAAGAAAGGAAGGAAGGAAGGAAGGAAGGAAGGAAGGAAGGAAGGAAGGAAGGAAGGAAGGAAGGAAGGAAGGAAGGAGAGAAAGAGGACGTGTAGATAGGGAAAAGGACACCATCACAGCCAGGGAGAAGAATAAAGGGACCTAAAATGAACCGAGAAGGAGGGAGCCGATCTGAGAAAAGTGAACTAAACGGTTCTGAGAAAAAGTAAACAACAAGGAATTAGGGAGCGGAGAATAGAGAAAAATGAATGAACTAGAGATCGAATATTCAGAAAATGTGAGGGTTAGGCAGATGGACAGAGAAAAACAAAGGTAGTGAAGGCAGCGAAACTGCTCGGCAGGTGGGAAGGAGTGAAGAAAAATGAAATTATTCGCGCTAAGGGTCTGGATTTTCGATCCAGGCCATTGTTTTGGGCGCTGAGCACCGTGGGCAGCTCGGACACCCTGGGTGGTGAGCCGGGTGCCAGAGTCGCAGGGGCGAGGCAGGGGAGCGGACAGCCTGGCTGGCGACTTCGCCTCTCCCAGGGCTCGCAGCACACAGGCCTAGCCCGGGCCCCACCCTGAGCCTCCCGGCCCACGGTCGCAGCAGCCACTCGGCCAGGAGGCCTCTTCCACGCCGCCGAAAAACGAAGTTGACAAAGTTTACCCCAAAGTTTCCCGGCACTTGTCCGGACCCAGGGAAAGTCTCCCAGGACCTGGCGGCTCGTAGTGGGCAGCGGCACGTTCCCGGGTGGCTCTGCGCGTCTCTGGCCCGCGCCTCCTGAGATGGTGCGAGCCGGAGTCATGGCCAAACCCGAATCCCTCCGGTGCGTCTGCCAGGCCATGCAGACAGAGCCCGCGCTGCTGCTAATTTCGGAGAGAGAGAGCGCGAAAGGGAGAGAGAGGGAGAGAAAGCGAGAGAAGGAAAAAAATATTCTCAGCTCAATTTAAGTCTCATGGAAAGGGCTTACAACTGTAATTAAATCATTAAATTCTTGTCTACGCTTCACAGAGCGGAGAGAAATTAACTTCCCACCAACCTCATTTTCTATTTGAACATGAAATAATGATTTTCTGCCCGTCTAATTACAAAGCCAACATCTGATCAAGCCAGCATCCAGGGGGGATTATCGCATGCACGAGTATTAGACCTCATTACCAGCTTGAGTGCAAAATTATTACATCTTGTAATTGGATGGTGAGATTTATATACAGATCGGGCCGGTTTCTGTAAGATTGTAATTACAAGCTTCGTTGGTTAGCTACTTATCAGAACTTTGCAGGAAAACAAAACAAATGACTGAGGAAAACGAGCATTTCATTAACCTGTAACCCGAGCGCGCCGGGGGTGGGAACGGTGGGATCGCGCGCCGCGGCGTCTGCAGGAAGCCGAGGGAGAGCTAACCTGCACCGCCACCAGGGAACTCCGGCCTCGGGAGGAAAGGACAGGAGGTGGGCCTCGGCTGGGAGACCGGGAACTGCAGCGGCTCCCCGCCCTTACTCCCTAACAGGGATGTGTGGAACCGCGAGGCTTGGCGAAAAGGGCTGAAAGGGGGCCTGTGACTCCGGGTTTGCGTGCTGTGCGCGAAGCGGCTCTTGAACCTGTCGGGCCTCAGGCCCTGGGCACACGTCGGGTGGCGGCTCCCCGTGCGCGTTGGGCGCGCATTGCGAGCGCCACGCGTGTTCTGTGGACACCGTTTCTGCACACTCCCTGAGCCCTGGTCGCATTCGTAGAGTGTCCTGAGAGAGTCTCCAAGGTGCTTTGTGCGCTGGAAATACTGAAGAAGAAACGATGGAGAAGCCGCGTGCAGAGCGTTAGTGAGCGGTGCAGGTTTATCCAAACCAACTTCCAGTGCACCTGCTTTTCCTTGCTGGGCAAGTCGGTCACTTTGACCTAATCTCTTGGATTAAAACTCCCTGGAAATGGTTCGGCTGCTGGCCAACCCGCGAGTCCAGTTCAGAGTCTGGATCCACTGGCTAGGTCCTGTTAGGGAACCAGCGCCACGTCGGGGCTCGGCTGCCCGGGATGCTAAATCCTTGGTTTGGATTTCCGGACCAGGCCTAGGCTGTTCCCAGCGGGAGACTACAGTAGGGGAAAGTATTAGACTACAGTAGCTGCTTCTGCTTGGGGCCTAGGTAACCTGGAGGGATCTAATCAAGTGAGGTTGTGGGTTCGCGTCTGGCTCTGGAGGTTCACCCTCCGGGCCAAGGGCGGTCCCCAGCAGGCTTAACTGGTTTCTGAGTACAGCCTCATCTTTTCCGTCCTCTTTCCTGCCGCCTGTAGTCCGAAGCACCCAGGTCGATAAACTGGTTAATGCGGAAGGAGCATCTCCGATATTCATGACTTGTTTTCTTTTCTTTTCTTTCTTTTTCTTTTTCTTTTTTCTTTCTGAAAGAACTGAATCAAATACCAGGCACTTCACCTGGGCATTTACAGTGCAGCCCCTATTCTCCTACCCTGGAATCCCCCCCAACATGCACACACCTCTGGCGCCACCATTTTGTGCAAATGTTAGGACTTCAGGGTTGTGAAGGCTCAAGGGCCACGCCTAAGAAATATCCTGGGAAGTAATGTTCCCCACAATTTTTAAACTCAGATTGTTTGTGAGAAGGTGAACCTGAGATTCACTAGGACAGGCGCTGAGAGGTTTAGCTGGAAACGAAATCAAGCTCTGGGGACACATTTGAAGGCCAGAGCTCCCCCTGAAGTCGCCTCCAATAGCTAGGTTCTCCTAAAGCCAATGCCCAGCGCCAGGCAGAGGCAGGTGTGGCGGGGACAGGGAAGCAGCTCAGACTCAATCTGGGAAGGCTTTCCCCCCATGGAACGCTAAACCTGGTCATTCCCAAACTTTCTGTGACACCGCCACCCCCACCCCCACTTAATTTTCTCCAGTTCAAATCTACTGGAGCCACAGACCAGTGAGAAGAAAGTGGCAAGAAGTGGGGATAAGATTAAAACTGGTCGTCCAAGGCAGGAGCGGAGGAGGAAACTTTCATTCCCGACCTGGGCCTGGGCTCCCCATAGCAGCTGTGACCAAACAGCCAGAGCCCAGACTCCGGGATCCCTCCACTCTGGTGGAATTCGGATTCAGTTCCTCCGTCACTCAGTGCTGGGTGCCCGGCTTCTGCCTCTGAGTTGGAGAAGCCCACTCTACTTAAGTAAGAGTCGTCGCCCCCAAACTGTGCCCGGGGCTCGTCTGCCGAGGGCCTGGCCCGCGCGTGGGTCCCCGCGGCGGCCCAGAAGCTCTTAGCCCCGAGCCGCAGCAATTCCCGGAATTTCAGTGCCGCTTTCAACTGCACGCTGTAATCCGCGAAGGTGGACGCCTAGATACTGATATTTCGAGTAGGATTTAGAAAATATCTTGCCATAAAACCAGAAGTCTTGTTTCCCATCCCCCTCCCCCGCGGTGGGAGGATCCTTGCACGAGGAAAACGGGTTGGCACCAGAAACCCGGAGCAGGGGAAAGGGTAGCGAGACGAAGGCGCTCAACGGACAGGAAGGCCAGGATAGAAACTTCTCCCAGAGCTCCCTGAAAGTTCTCCGGGCCTCCGCCGTCCCGCTCCCGGCTCCTCCCCCACTGCAAGCCTTCAGTCTTTACTAACTCTTCCCGGCTCCCCGAGATCTCCGGAGCGTCCACCCTTTGGCCCACGAGCTGAGATAGCCATTTCTAATAAGGGTATCGCAGCCGGACACTAGGGAAACGTCAAATGTAGCAAACTGCATGGTTTGGCTCTGCGAGGAAGGACGCTGTCACCCCACGTCCTGGGCAGTGGGATAGCCTTTAAAAACGCCATTTGGGACGCACTCCCTCACCCCTGCTCACTCTTCCAGCTCCGTCTCTTAGCCGCGGAGAGTGGCCCGCAGTCGCGAGGTGCGAGCTGAAAAGGGGGGTCCGGGCGCAGAAGAGTCCCGGAGCCTGTCCTGGCACAAGGTCCGGGCCCGACCC